CTCTCCTGGCGGCTGCCCGGCACAAGCACACACCAGTGAAACCGTGGGGACCTCCGGGGTGGCCCATGGCCCTGCAGGAAGAGCGCGGCTGGGCGTCCTCAGGCTGCAGCCAGAACTGCCTGCTCATCACACAGCCTGGGTGTGACAAGAGATGCCACAACCCTGGGCTCCATGCAGTGACTTCAACACGGAGAGCAGTGCTTCTCTAATGCGGTGCACACGGACACCCGGGGATCCCAGGGAAAAGCGGGGCTCGGGCCGGGCCGGGCCGTTGCTGGGATCTGAGTGTGTGCCCCTAAGGTTCACGCGCTGCAGCCCCCCCTCCACAGTGTGATGATACCTGGGGGTGGGCCTCCGGCAGGTGCGGAGGGTTGACAATGCGTGAGGATGGGCCCCGGTGGGACAAGTGCCCTTAGAAGAAGAGATGTCAGAGCTCTCTCTCCACTTCCCTACGTGTGCGGGCAGAGAAGAGCCCTCGCCAGGAACCCACCGCACACCGCCGTGATCCTGGACTTCAGACTCCAGAACCTGAGAAATAATTATCAGCGGTATTTTGTGGGGGCGGCCCGAGCCGACCACGACAGCCAGGATGCTACAGGTCCCACCACCCCCAGCCCGCACTTGGGGCTGTCGACAGCCATCGTGCTGCTGGTGGTCCACGACCACAGGAGGGCCTCAGGGGTGCAGGGTAAAGATGGGAAGCAAAGAGGACTCACAGGGAGCACAACGGCGGGGACCTTAGTGGGACACACACGTGCAGTGGCTTTACCTTTGGATGACAGGACTTTTCCGCCTGCTTTTCTGCAGTGAGCATATTTTGCTGTTGTAATACAAGTGGCCGAAGGCACCCGTAGAAACAGCAACCAGTTCCATTGTTCTCTGATAGAAGGTTGGAAATACTCTGCCTGAATTAAAAATTTAAAAAATAACTATAAGGGATGTTAGAATAGTAAACAGAATGTCTTCTGGGAACAACAGTGCCGCACAGGACACATCACTCTCCCAGCCTGAGCCATGCCCTCAGGGAGGAGGCACGTGCCCTGCAGGGCTGGGGCAGCTGTGGGGTGGCCTCCGCCTGGGACCCCTCCCTCCCTCCTCTGTGGAATGCTCAAGCCACACGCAACCCTGGAGCGGCTGCTGCTCCAGCCCCCGGGAGTCAGCATGGTGCTGGGGCTCCCTCATGGCGACTAATAAGCGTGTTTACCAGGAGGGGCGTACCTCTACTTTTTAGGAAGTCTGGTTGTGGTTGACACACACACATGCATGCACAGTTTGTGGATGTTGCACCTGCAAGAGATGCCCACCCACCCCTAAGAATGTACGATTTAAAATACAGTAATTGTGGGGGTAGGAATAGCTCAGTGGTAGAATGTGTGCTTAGCATGCATGAGGTCCTGGGTTCAATCCCCAGTACCTCCATTAGAGAAATTAAAAAAAAAATACAGAATTAGATCTTATGTTTTCACCACAAAAAAGAAATGGTAACCACATGATGTGACAAAGATGGTAACTAACACTATGGTGCTGGAAAAAAATACCACGATTAGGTGTTTGGAGAAGAAAATTGCACTTTTTATACTTTATTTCTGGGGCAAATAATGAAGGAGTTAGTTCCACCAAACATGCCTTTAGTCAACCCCTGGACCCTGGTGACGCTGGGTCTCAGCCTCTGTGGTGATAATCTGACTGGGGGTGAGGGGGGGTCAATGGGACTTCACCGTGGGGTCCCCAGTCCTGCTCTAAGGAAGCCAATGGCGTGGCCTCACCCTTGTGGATTCAGCAGTCACATCCTGGGTTCAGCAGGTGGCCCGCACTGCTCCGCAGAGGGCCTCGTTAGGGGAACTCAGGGATTCCTGCGTCCTACAAGGGACACTTTTGCTCCAAATTCACAGCTGAGGGACCCAGCAGGCCAAGTGGGCGGCAAACGGAAACCGGGCCAGAGGTGGGTGCCCGGTATTTCACGATTTCAGTTGTGTGGATCAGAAGGCGGGTAGCCGTCTCCAGCAGGTGGACCAGCGAGACGAGAGGCCGGGGCGCTGGTAAAGGGCCCTGCTCACAGCCCTCGTGCTATCAGCAGATTGTGTGAGGATTTTGTTTGCCTGGATTGATCAGCATCTTTGAAGATGTGGAGGTTTGATCTTGAAGACGTGACTATGCAGCCTTGAGATTTTCTTTTATTTCTAAGATACTGTGATGCTATTTAAAGGAAGCGTAAGAAGAAAACAAAGGGAGAAAAAGTGCCCCAAGAAGACTCAATAAAAAAAAATGCCATATAACATCATTTATATGAAGAATCTAAAAAATTGTAACAATAATGATGACACAAGTGAACTAATTACTATTTTGATTTCTTGAATGTGTGTTAAGTGCATCTGACTGTCGGTAATTGGATTTCCGCCTTCTGTTGATTCTTATTTTGTGGTTGGCTTTACTCCTTTGATAACTGTGTAAGTTTAAAAAGCTAAAGACCTAACCTGTTCTTAGAAACAATAATTAGTACATATATGAAAACTAAAAAACGTGCAGGGTACTGTTTATATGTATTTACACGCAGTATAATGTGCATGTGCGGTCGGACTGTAATAATTCTACATAATAAAGCTGGAAGGGAAAAAAAAAACTGCCCCCGTTGAAAAACAGAACGGAGCGAGCGCGGTATGTCTCGAGCACTTCCCGCCTAAGGGCGCTTGGTCCGCCAGGAGAAGCAAGGAACTCGGGACTCCGGGTGCAAATAGGTTTGTTTATTAAAGCAAATAGATTCTGCAAACGTTAGTAATAAATACAGTTGCGGAAGCATGTCATTAAAATAAAGACGTCTCCAGAAAAAGTATCAGTAAATGCGTTTCTTTACCCGAGGGGCTGTGTGGGTGCACGTTTCGCGACGCTTTCCGGCGGCCAGGTGTGAAACCGCCCG